CTGTGCTAGAGCAACTCTTGTGCCCTTGTTGGAACTACAGCAGATAAATTCAGCTACGCATCTCAGAATTCTGTAGAATGGAGTCATGACAAAGTTATATGAAGCTGTATAGTTTAAATATACTCTATGTCATGCTTCAAGTAGAATCACTGAAAGTAGTGGGGCCTAGGTTGTCCCAGTGATTTTACTGAGCCTATTCTATGAAGAACTGAGTCTGGATCCAGTACTGTATAATCTTCATCTACAGCACTGCAGTACATGTAATGTCAAACTTTAAGAATACATTGATAAAAATTTTCCCAATTTTTCAAAGGCAATGTAACAAGTCATTTTTTGTGGCATGCATTCTGTCTAGTGTTAAAGACATCCACAAACCACTCAGCCCCAAAAGCAAGGAGATAATCCTGAAACACACTTGTTCTGCTTAAAAAACTCCAACTACAGAGGCTCAATTACAATAATAGTGGGCATAAGTGGTAGCAGCTGAACAAGCAATAAAAGTTTTAATAGTCCTTAATTTTCAATTTACCAAGCTTCTGTGTTTTTCATCAATTGAACCAATGCCACAAGACCTTTAGATGTGTTGATCTGATTTAAGACTAAATAGCCATCAACATTAACCTTGTATGTAACCAGACTGTCCCTCTTTCAAATATCATCTTCATTTATTTTCAGGTGACTTCACAGACATGAGAGACCACAGCTTCTAGTGAATCCATAAAGCTGGATCATCCCCAACCTTTCGCTATTTTTTATGATTAATTGGTATACCATTTTAATTTTCAGTATTAGAAAATACTGCCGGGGGGGGGGCTCTTTAAAACCAAACACTAAGAAAATTTAAGAATTTCAGGTACCTACTCTTTAATCTAAACGAAGCCCTTCTGGTCTTGTGAAGCCAGTCAAAATGTGCATCAGCTTCTCTGTAAAAACCAAAGATTTTTCAGCAGAATTGAGGATACTTTCTAGTGGATACTTTCTAGTGATCAACACCATCAATTCTACAGCTGCTGGCCATTTGTTAAGTGGAAAAGGGAGGGAGAAGCAAGTCCTGGCCAGGAGCCTAAGGACTCTCGCCACTCAATAGATCAGAAATGGCACTATTAGCTTGGACCATGATGCTCTCATCTTAGGCAGACTTGTGCGTGCATGCATATGTCTCAAAACAGTTGCTGCTTCCTGGATCAGGCCCAGAAACTTTATGAGCCGGGTTATTTGATCTTGTTTTCATTTTTTATAGATCCACATTTGCAAGTACTATTTCAGACACCATTTTGTTTCCAACTCCTATTATTTAATTATTCGTGGGAGAGAGTTGCCCTCTGGGACAGAATTTAAACTGTCTAGCTACTCTCACCTCAGCTTGTTGTGTTCATGCACAGACACCCTCCATCACACACTGTCAATTGTCTCTCTTTGCCTGAAAAGTGTCTCTATTAAGAAGCAGTGTTTACTTCTTCCACAGGATATTGTAGAATAAGTGAAAACTGAGTAACAGCAAAACTAAATAAATAAATAAATAAATAAAAATTAAAAAAAATCCCAACTAGTTCCTTTTCACGTCTGCCCTTTTTGCTTATTTAGAGTGCCATTCTTAACATGGTATCACGGGATGGGAAGAAGGGAACAAACAAGAGAACCAAAGTGACCAAGAGATTGGAATACAACAACAACAACAACATTAGAACTGCATAACTGGAAGGAAACCTATGGATCGCCGAGTCTATCCCCTGTCATGGAGGAACAGTGGGGAAATGAAACTCCTAATCTCTGGCTTCACAGCTGGATAACTAAACCACTGAACTAATATGTTTCTATAAAGAAAGGCTCAAGTTATCTGGTGGGTTTTTTTTTTTTTTTGGCTTTGGAAAGATGCTGGGGGGGGGGATAGGCATTACAGATATTAAACATAAAAGTTCTCCACTTTCTTAACACTAGAATTCAGAATAAAACAATGGATATCAACAAAAATAGGCAGGCAACTGTGGCTTTTTCAGATGCTGGACAGTAAATCCCAGCATTCTTCACCACTGGTTATGCCAGCTAAGACTGATGGGAGATATAGTCATACAACTTTGGAGAGCCACAGCTTATCGTTCTTGCTCTGAAGTATGATTGCAGAGGGATGGGTCTATCAGCAGTTATTAACCAGGACTGGGGGGGTGGGGGAAAGGGGAGGAGAAAGAGTTTCCCTGGAGAGAGGCAGCCTGCCTCTCACTACCAGTTGCTTGAGGACAAACAAGAGTTGGGTGGGGGAGGCTGCTAATTTCATGTCCCGATTGTCAGGAAACAAGATACTTAGCTAAATAGAGATTAAGTCTCATCAAGTGAGGATTTATGGCCAGACTATACCATGGTTTTAGAACTTTCAGAATTTATTTTAACTACACCTCCCATAATCCTCAACCTTCTGCCTGTTGGATTCTGGGACATGTTGTCCAAAAGTTTAACACTTCTAAACCTTGCATGGATTTGTTTTCTTTTCATTTTCTCTTTCCAGGGGAAGCCACTCCAGACAACTCTTGTTCCATTTCTCCAAACCATCTAAAATTCTTGTTTCTTTTTTTCTTCTTTTTAACACAACACAGTTGCTGAACAGAAATCTCAGTCTAAAACACATGCATTCCACTCATTGGCATCAGTTGCTCAAGGTATCTGTAAAATCACTATCAGGCAGTGTCAAATGTGTGGTTAAGAAATGGAGGGAAAGCAATCATTTTTTCTAGTTTGCATATTCTGCTTATTGTTGTAAGAGAAGAACTGTGCTTAAGCAAGAAAACTTCCATTGGTGTCTGCCATTTGGAGGCTGTGTGCTGGGTCCTTGAACAGAATACTGAGACACAAGGAATGAAACAGCAACACAACCCACAGCTTGCGTCCTTTCTTGAGCACAACCAAATGATATTTCAAGGGCACAAAACTGTGTCCTCCAGCCCAATCCTACATAGGTATTTACTTGGGGTAAAATCCCACTTCTAACAATGAGATTGATGAGTCTCAGCAAATGACAGACCCACAGTCCTAAGGCTAAGACTCCAATACCTAGCATTGCCAGTCTCAAAGAAAGCACTCAGCAGTAAGCACAATTGAAATCAATGTATGTGGAAAAAAGAAGATGCTATTTGATTGTCCAATGAGAAGTTTGACAAGTGCTTTGTAAATTTAAGGGCAATAACCGAAATCAGAAAAGCACGACATTTTATTAAGCGGATATCTCCTGGTACGCAGTACAGAAACAAGTGAAACTTGGGGTGAAAAACAATCAACCTGCAATTATGTTCGTGCACATCTACACATCTACCCAGAACTGATGCCCTCTGATGTTAATAGAAAGTACTTCTCAGATGAGTGGGCACAGGATTATAACCTGATGCTTGCAGTATTGTACTCACTTGAGAGGACACACATGAACTGTGACCACTCTTTCTGGAGTGTTTCACAGTACACAGAAAGCATCACAATTTTTTGAAAATGTAAATACTTTATTAAGTCTGTCTCTTAAAGCCTAGCTTCTTTCAATGCACAAACGTTTTCAATTCCTAAATTTCCTTTTACGAAATTCAGAGGGAGTATATAAATCTGAAATGTAGGGTCTTTTTAGGAAGCAGTCTTTGTAACCTTTTAGCTACTGATCTTTATAGTGGAATTCCAAACCTCGGACATAAATAAGTAAAGAGCACAACATGGCAAGTTTCCCCATCATTTATTGCCACATCAATCCAGTTCAAATCTCCCGATAGTTAATTACTATATATTTTCTGTTAAGAAGACAACTATTTATTTTTATTTAACTATATAAAATATTTGTTACCATACCTTTCTCCTAAAAAGGACTCAAGGCAGCTTACATCATTAAAAACACAACATTACCAGCTAAAAACAGTAAATTATGTTTACTGTTGTAAGCCGCCTAGAGTGGTCATTATTCAAATATTTAAAAAGGATTAATAGCATTATATTTAAAATGTCATTTAGAATCAGATTTTGAAGCAACACATTACAAACCATCTCAGACGGTCAGTTGCTAAGAAAAAGCCTGTTTGAAGAGAAAGGTCTTCACTTGCTAAACTGCAATTTAGTTCATAGTTTTACTAACAACAGACTTATTGAAATGTATACCTAGGACCACAACCTAACCTGGCAACAACCTCACTTCATAATGAAAATCGAAAAATCACTAGACCTGTGCATGACATCTCCTCCTGTTTGAAAATGCTCTTTCAGCAAAATGTTTGCTTTCTTGAAATAATCTCAAAAGCAATCAGTCGTTCAGAGGGAAAATGGAAAAGATAGTGAGGAATCACGCAGTTCTAAACACTGTAACATGGAAGTAAGTCCCATCAAACTGAGTCAGATTCACTTCTCAATAAACATGCTTAAGAATGACACTGTAAAGCCCCCCTGAATGTGTGTCACTCCAGTTTTATACACAAGCATGGATTAATGAAAACAAATCTGTAATACTCCTGCTCAGCACAGATTTACTCAGAGGCAGGAAAATCCCATCGGTGTCAAAGGCATTCCTGAAGTCTGCATAACCTAAGGAAAATGCTGAACCTTTCACATCAAACTAAAGAAAATATATTTAAGAAACATGTCATTATTCCTAATGGAGACACTCCGGTCGCATCATTCTTTAAAAACATCTCTTTTATCCTCTTCTATTTTTTCTTAATAAACTACTGCCAATTCCCCCTCCATACTGCAGCTCCCTATGTCTCCAGGGAAATCCTCCGAAACAGTACAGCGTGGTGCCTGTCGTTTTCACTTTTTTTTTTTTTAAGTGGGGAGTCAATGCTTCCCCATTCCCTGCCTTCAGACAAGGTGGCTCTAATCCACTGGGATTACTCTTCACCAATGGAAGGAGCCCTCTGGATACAATCAATACCCATAAAGGTTCAGCAGCTCAGACAGAAAAGTACTGTGGGACTGCTACTTTCGCTGGCTCACAAAATGACAACACTGTGAAACAATGAAACTCTTTCTGACACAAGACTCACCAAAGGCGACATAGATCCATTGGGCAGGTAGGGATCAGACAGCATGAGGAAAGGATAGCCAGAGTACGCGGATCCTTTATACATCCCTGAATCCTGGTGCTTCAACCCTGTTAAAATCAAGGTTTCACATTAGGACTGTGGCTTACCATCCAGTCCCATTGAGTTACAAGGGGATGCAACAAGCTAAATCTATTTAAAATGACAACAGTGTTTGCCTATGGGCATCTTGAGGGGTAGGAACAGTCCTCCATCTGAAATTAATTTCAGGGTCATCATCAGCCCAAAGGCCTGACTTGTTTGGCGGCAAAGGAAGGAGCCACAAACCCTCCAGATGAAGGGAATGTGGCTTGCTAGTCAACCTTGGATTGTTGGGTTAATTTTTTAAAAAACCCTTCCACTTTGCCTGATCTGGCACTCCTGCGGTGCATTCTTAAGAGGTTTGGGAGAAGGAGAACAGAGTTCTGTCTCAGTCTGTCCCTAACTTCTCTTTCACCTCCTCCAGCTCCATCCTTCTCTTCCTCCTGGGTTCTCCTGTTCTAGTACTTCAGGCCCAGGGACAAACCTGCGTCCAGAGTTGCCAGAGCAACCTCTGCCTGCTCCCTTTTGGAGCTTATCCTGCAAACTTCCAGCTTGAGGAAAAACTTCCCATTAACTATCTTTCCAGTTATGCAGAGTAGGGGAAATGGTGGTAGGAGACTAGCTATACTTACCAAGTTTCATTGGCCTTCAACTACCCTTGCTCTGGACTTCCACGACTCACTTAAAAGCTCCCCAAGCTTTCAGGATGTGCCCCTGCACTGCACTGCCTCCTTCATCAGCAGACAAGCCCCTGCCTTTTCTCTCCCCCCCCCCTACACTAGCGCTGCCAACCTCTCACCCCTACCCACACCCCACGCCAGGCCGGATCATCCTCCTTCTCCCCAGTTTAGCATGAAAAGAGGGTGGGCGGCGGCGGCGGCGAGCCCCCCCCCCGAGAAAGGCAAAGAAGAACGAAAGCGCGCTCTGAGCTTTACCTTCTTCCATGTGATCCGGCAGTTTCTCTTGATAGACCCTTGGGGGATCCTGAAGGCGCCTCATCGCCTGTAGGGAGGGAAACAAACAGCTACAGCACCACCAACAAAGATGGCTATTTATTTATTTGTTTATTTGTTATCGAGAGTTCCTCGCGCATCATCCTGAGCAGGAGAGACGGACTTCGGACAAGAGAGGAAGGTGGGGAAGGGGCTCTCGCTCCCTCCTTCGCCCC